CGACCGACTGAGTAGCAACAGCCTGATCGTGATAGCTCTGAGGTGCTGCGCACTGCCCCGTCCCGTGTGAGCGAGGTTGCGCAGCCGCGGCGCCCGCTACATACCCGTGCAGAGGCCAGCGCCTCGGACAGCGGACACCTCTGATCACTAGTGGGGAGGTCCATTTTGCAAGCGCCGATTTTGTCGTCCTGCCTCTCCTGCTCCTCGTTCCGCGCCGTCCTCTCGGGCCCTCGGCTTGCCCGTCGGCCCCCCGTGGCCCTCGTCGGCCCCTCCGCTCGGCGGTTCCTCGCTGGTCAGTTCGTTTTGTCCTCTGTGTTCGGTTCGTCGGGTGTGGGTTGGCGCTCGTGGCTCCAAATGTTTCCGTCGAGCCTACACGTGACTTGAAGCTAACAGAACATTGCTCAATAGCTGCGTACTCCTCCTCCTCCTCCTCCTCCGCCCCCTCCTCGAAATCCTCCTGTGACTCCTCCTCGTGCGCGCATGATGCGGTGCGTCGCGACGGCTGTGGCGCTTTCTGCCATGCCTTACAACGGCATCTGGCGGAGGGCGGCAATTTCGCTGGAATGGTGCGGCGAGCCGAAGGAGCACAGTCACCGCAAAGAAAACCAGATGGTATCCTGCCAGAATGCTGGAATCACTTGTTAGACAACTTCGACGCTCGGCAACGCGCGACAGGGGCCGGCGGGCACCACAAAAACGGCACAAAGCGGAGGCAAAACCAATGCAGAAAAGGCAGACGGGCCATTGTGCGAGTTGTCAACAGATCAACCTTCTCGCGATTGAAACTTGGATCTTCGCAACCATACTGCGCTGGACCTCGGCAAGGGCAGGAGCAAACTCCGGGCTGACACGATCGCAAAACAGACTCACATCAAAGCATGGGACACAAGAGGCCGTTTTCACACTGCGTCGGCGAATGAATGGACTTGGAGCATGAAGCGTCATCAAGTGATTTGTTCGCGTTAGCCATTGATCGGAAGAAAGCGCTCGACCCCATCAGCGCCTACGCACCGCGGCCTGTTGCGCTTCGGCCTGCCGCGCGATGTGCGCTGAAGAACGCGCGGGCTATATGCACTGACAAACATGTTTGCGGTGTGGGAGCGCGGGGCGATTCCATCATCGATTCATTTGCCGCAAACGCGTTACCAACAGCTCGCATCGGGGAACCAGTCGCCAACATTCGCTAGACATAGAGATGGTTTGACCAAGGGCGGTCGCCGACACGAGCGTGTCCAGGAAGCTCGAAAGCCCAACAAGGGGCGAGGGAAGCGACGCAATTTGCCTGGCCGACACTTTGTATACTCCTACCTTACACAGCAGCAATCAAGATGTGGTCACTCCATCTTCGAGGCCGCAATCGTTTTTTGGCACATCGAAAGAGAGCCCATGGACACCGCTCCTGCTCGTGGTGATGACAACGGCAACAGTCATATCATAGCGACGCTGCACAACCCTTCGGAATAGCATGGCAAACGGACGGAACGAGGCTCCCATTCCGTCGTGCTGCGCGCGGACGGCAGGTTGGTTCTGTACGGAAACAAGGCGGCAATGGGCAAACACAGAAGCAGGTTTGCAGCATGCTCGAGCACGGCGACTTCTGACAATGTTCAATTCTTAGACTGTGAATGTGAGAGCAATATTGCAGACCACGCGTGGGATCATCGCACTGCCACAGCCAAATTATGGAATTGTCACGTTTTGCCTCTGGAGCAGGGAGCACTAGAACAGGGCTCTCTCTTTGGTTCTGCGTGGCGCGGGCTGGTTTCGATTAGACGTCCAAGAAATACCAGCATCCGAGTTTGAGCTAGCACAGAAACGCTCAGACGTACATATGTGTTTTTTCTTACCAAGAAGTCTACACTTGCTAAACCCAGTATTTCATACATGATGCTAGTCGAGAGCGCGTTGGTGTCTACACTTGCCAGTGCGCTCGCAATATTTGGGGGAGTCGTGCTAGATTGCATGTGGCAACGGAGAGCACCGCCATGGTCTTTGACAGAAAAAAACGATCCTCACTGACATTTTCAAATGCCAGGCAGCAGTTCTTCCTTTTGCGGTAAATCGCCAGGTCACTGGAGAGAAGCCCCCTTACTGAGGTCACCTTGCGGCCTATATACACACGTATAAATAGATAGATATATAGATGTTCCTCTTCCTCTGTTTTTTAAAGCCCGGGCGAGGACCCCTCCCCAAACAAAAAACGGATTCCCGGGATCTGGGGCTTTGAGACCCTCCGGACGGGCCTCGAAGCGGCCCCCCGGGCCTCGCAGGGCGTTTTGCCAAGCCTCCCCAGCACACCTACAACGATCAGAGGGGTCATCGGAGACGTCCCAGAGACTCCCAAGACAGCACAAGAGCGCTCAGAAAGTGACCGACGTGACCTCAAGATGGCCCAAGAGGCCTCCAGGACGGCCCCAAAGGCTTCAAAAAACCTTCAATAACACCCCCAAGAAGGCCCCAAAAGGCAAACATCATTGATTTTCTGAAGGTTTTTTGGTGAATTTTGGGGTTCTCCCTTTTGTCGGCTTCCCGACGCTCCAATACTGCAGTCTTCTGGGCGTCCGAAGCCGCATGGGAGGCTCTAAAATCGCCCCACAACCATCCGAAAGGGCTTCCAGGCAGTCCAAGAGAGCCCCAACACGGCACAACAGGGGTCAAAATGGCCCCAAGAGAGCCCCGTGGCGGCCCAGGACGGCCCCAAGACACCCTCCGAAGCATTCCAAATCGTGACCCGGTCGTTCAGGGAGACCGCGGTTGGAGGCAGGGTGGCCCGAAGAAGCCCCCAGAACCTCCAGAACACGCCCAGGAGGCCTCCAGAAGGCCTTAAGAAAACCTGAAACTTTTGTGAGGCCCCCAGAGGCTCTCCTAGGAGGAGCCTCCGCAAAAAGAGCTCAGGA